ACAAGGCTTGATACAAAATATAAATGAAACAACAATTCTCTTTAAATACAAAAACACTAAAAATCTTACAAAAGCTCTTAAAAGCTCTATTAGGGTGGGCAAGAGGCATAAAGCCACCCTTTCTCCCCAGCCCCCTACATCTCTATCAGTCCTTTTACCTGCACTGTGCAGCAGGCAAAAAGGCCTAGAAAAACAGTAGACCAAAGAAGTAAAAGAATGGATGAAAGGGAAAAAAGGATATTGTCCATAGTAAGAGTTCCTTTTTCAAGCTTCGCTGGAACCCCCCCCCCCTTCTTCACCATATCTCATGCTGTCATCCAGTCAAGGTCAGATAAACAGTTCCTCCTTCTTTCTTCTCTTTTCATGGGAACAGGTGTTGTTGTCCTTAGCACATCTGCAGCTCTGCCATAACAATTACCCAGTCTTCTTATCTAGGAATGTTCTCCTCAGGCCTACAAGAAAACATTCCTACATCCCTCTGGAAATACACTGTCAGCATACAGAAATCAGTTATACAGAGAACCAGTATGGAATCCCTTTTACATTGTTCACTACTACATATCCCATCTTCAGTACAAGATTTAATCCACATAAACCAATCCATGACAACAGGAAGCCAGATTTCACTTGAATATCAGGAAAAACTTCCTAACTGTTAGAGCAGTATGGGAATGGAACCAGTTTCCTCACAAAGTGGTGAGTGCTCAAACACTGGAGGCATTCAAGATAATGAATGGCAGATATCTTTCATTCTTCAGTGTGGTCTCTGTGAATCACACATTTGGGTTAAATCAGCCCCTGCGCTGGAACTTCGGAACCTTCTAGAGCTTTTCTGAAAAAGATGCAAAGTTTAGGTTGCCCCTCGCACACATGCTCCATTCCCCCCAGCCTTCAGTTCCCAATTTTCCGCCATTGTGCTAGGAAAGTTTTTGGACAGAGCTCTCTTGTTTTCTCGGAATTCGATTGACTTTGGACTGTATTTCGACTATTCTTGCTTCTGTTGCCCCTTGATCTTGGACTGTTTTTCGACTACCCTCTGCCTGACTTTGGCTCTTGTTTGACCTTTATTTCCCACGCTTTTGTGGATTGCCTGATTGCTTGATTGCCAGGCTGATTGCCTCAGCGGGAAGCGCCATTATCGGCTCAGCAGGAGACTCCATTACCTACTTATCTCCTGATTACCGTGAGAACTCAGGCTCCTATTGCCTCCTGTGTACTGTTTTATGTCCCCGTCAGACCCTTTTAGTAAATGTAGGGCGTGCTCCAGGAAAATACCCTTTTATGATAAACATAGTCGTTTTTTATTTTGCCTGGGAGACGCGCACAATACTTCTTTGTATGTTTGTTTGTTCAGTCGTTTAGTCGTGTCCGACTCTTCGTGACCCCATGGACCAGAGCACGCCAGGCCCTCCTATCTTCCACCGCCTCCCGGAGTTGTGTCAAATTCATGTTGGTTGCTTCGATGACACTGTCCAACCATCTCATCCTCGGTCGTCCCCTTCTCCTCTTGCCTTCACACTTTCCCAACATCAAAGTCTTTTCCAAGGAGTCTTCTCTTCTCATGAGATGGCCAAAGTACTGGAGCCTCAGCTTCAGGATCTGTCCTTCCAATGAGCACTCGGGGTTGATTTCCTTTAGTACAGGAAAAACCGTAGCTTTGACTATTCGGCCTTTTGTTGGCAAGGTGATGTCTCTGCTTTTTAAGATGCTGTCAATACTTCTACCTGTCACCATTGTAAAGAATTTACTAAGGCTGCTTTGAAGGCACGCCAGCAGAGACTTAAGCTCTACCTTTGGGAAAAGACTCTGCAACCCATCCCTCAGAGATGGAGACTTCTTCCAATCCCTCGGTGACTCCTCGCTCTGAGACAACCGTATCTCTCCCATCTACATCTACTAAGTTGCCTAAAACCCCTAATAAGGCTACCTCAGGTCCTTCCAAGAAGGCTCCTTCTACATCTATGGTGCCTGTTTCCAAGGACACTGCTAAGCCTAAAAAACAGGCTGGACAGCCTAAGAAATCCAAGGCTAAAGAGATCACCTCTCTTCCGCCTGTTACACCATTGCTGCCTTCACCAATTTTGGAAGATTCTTCAAGGGATCAGGAATCCCTGTCTGAAGCGGCTCCGTCTTTGCCACTCTCTCAGCAGCCTGAGGCACAGCTTGAACCTGGGCATTCACCCAGCCCTGACAAAGTTGAGGAGGCTGTCTTATCCAGCCCTCATTCTGCCCATCTTGGCCCTGCAACTGCCGGCCGGGTGACTGAGACTCCGCATTCATCCTCTTGCTCTCTGAGGAGAGATCTTCCTCCTCGCAAAAAAGGGTCAAAAAGGCAGCATTCTTCTTATCAACTTCGTGAGTCTGACTTGGAGATTCCTCAACGTCGGAAAAGACACAGGCATGAGCAATCTGGGCGCAGTCGTTCAGGAAGGAGAAGGACAAAACACCGACGTCGACATTACGATACCGACTTGACATCGTCGTCCACCTCTTCAAGTTACTGCAGGCACAGGAGGAGGTGCTATTCTCCCTCTTCGACCTTGAGTTCTTCGCCTTCTCCACGTCGACGTCAACAGGCTCAGAATACACTGCCTGCTATGGACACTGCCAAGGCTTCCTAAAAGACTTCTTCTACCTTGATGTCGAGACTTAAAAGTTCTCAGCAAACTGCTCAAGTCTCCTTAGCAGAGACTACTCTACATAGGGTACCATCGGAGGAAGATGACCAACTTTGCGAGGTGTCTTCCAATCAAGATGTAGAGGTTTTCTCTCCATTACAGGCTCAATCACCAGTGGAGGCGGACTCCTTTGAATCAGATACAGGGAACCCATCCATCCTCACCCTCTGAGGATTTCTCTTCATATTCGCAAATGGTGACCAGAATGGCTAATGTTTTAAAAATGCAAACACAGCTTCCACCTCCTCCATCAGATGATCCCATTTTTGGAGACATCGACCTAGAGGCTTCTCAACCACTTAGTCTCAACTATATTTCTCAACTGTTTAATCTCATTATTGACGCTTGCTCTCAACCAGCCACCCCTCTTTCTATCTCTAGGAGGAGTGAGAATATGTATAGGATTTCTGGAGGAGAAGTCAATTTCTTATCCGAGCACCCTGCTCCCAACTCTGTCATTGTCCATGTGAATGCTT